CAATACCAAAACTGAATATATCAACTTTTTCATCATATTTGTTACCCTTCATCATTTCAGGCGCCATCCAATATGGATTTCCAACTACTGTATATCTTTTCTTTCGCTCTTTCTTTGACGTTTTTGCTTCTCCCTCGGAATGTCTACTATATTTGCGATTATCAGGAGAGTTACCATTTTGTATTATCCTTGCTAAGCCGAAATCGGCTACGACTACAGTCTTATCTTCGCGTACAAGGCAATTATGCGAGTTTAAATCTCGATGAATAATATTCATGGAATGTAAGTAAGCCATACCAGCAGCTATATCTTTAGCAAACGATGTTCGTTGTTCCCACGGTAAGATTTCATTTGTATCATGTAACAGAGCTCTTAGAGTTCCACCTGCTATATATTCAGTGACCAAATGTAACTTTTTATCTTTGTATAGAACACCGATGAATCGGAGAACGTTGTTGTGATGTAACGAGCGTAAAACGGCAACCTGTTAAATTTATATAAAATAAAAAAAAATAAATAAAATAATATAGATAAATATAAGATAATCATTGATAAAATAATTTTATTTTTTAACATAAAAAATTTACCTCTTTTAGAAAATTCTTTTGAGCTTCTTCATCAACTCTATACAATTCTTTTAGCACCATGACTTCATTAGTATCTCTATGTGTAACTTTGAACACTTGTCCAAAAAATCCTGTACCTAACAGTTCACCTTTCACTAAATCACTAGCACGGAATATTCTTTGATTCTTTGGTTCGACACGAAATGATCTAGTTCTGCTTAAGTCACATGTAAGATTTGTGGGTGAACATCTATAAACATATTAAAATGAGAATGAATTTAAAAATAAATATTTAACCATTATTAACCATTATTAACTATTAGAAATATTTCATTCAAAACTTAAACTATACCCATCAAGTAATCGCGACATAGAACTACTACGCTCTTTATGCATAGGATCTCTGGTTCTTCGCAATTGCCTGCTTCGCGTTCCACTGATGTAACCTTCATCTCGTCGTTTAAATAAACGTTCTTTATTTTCAGGGCTTGTTTTTGAACTCGAAATCGATGTCAACATCGCTGCAGATGGTGATGAATACGTGAGTCGTCGAGAAACTGTATCCGGATCGTGTTCAATAGTTAGCTAAAATTCAAAATGTTTATTTTTATTTTTTTATTTAATTATACATTTATTTAATTTAATTAGATTATATTTATTAAAATTTCTATATTTATATTATTATATACATGTACTATGTACTATATACATGTATATGTTATTAATAAATATAATACATTTAAATATGCATAAATTATATATATAAATATTATATATAGAATTACCTGTAAAACTGTATCAGAATACTGTATAAGATTTTCAATACTCTCTATAGGCTGATCTTTAACCGGGGTACCATTTACTTCAAGTATACGATCACCGATATGCAAAGATATGAGATCACTGGACATGTTCAGTCTGTAACACATTTCATGTAATATCTCCAATGTTTTAATAGATATATATACGTACATTTTTTAAACAAAACATGCAAAACTTTGCGTGCATTTAGTTCATATTTGATTTAAATATTATAATTGAAATTAAATAGTAGAACTAATATCCATGTTTATTTTTAATCCAGCAAATTTTTTTGCATTATTATTATATCATCATTATACGTTATAAAATATACATAACATAATCATACATAACATATACTACTATATATTATTTAAATGCATATTCTCTAAAGCATAAACTTTCATTTCACTTCTAAATATAACATGCTTACACATCTATGCAGCACATATTATGAAATAAACAAATAATATTAGATACAAGAAAATTATTTTGCACAAGATATATTTTAGTGTGCAAACATTGAAGGATAATCTAATTTATAACAAATACAATATCTAATGCATATTATTTATTTGTTATGCTGTACCTATGATTAGAGAAGTGGCAGCATAGTCTAAATAGAACCTCCATCACAGAGGCCAGCAGCTTACTGATTTTTCCACGAACATTTCTCATTAACCTGCATTTTAGTTTAAAGTTATTAGAGGCTGCTCATCTATTTTATTTTATTTATTTATTTTAAATAATCACATCCATGCATAGTGTTATAAAAACAATAATTTTTAATTGTTTTTTGTTTTGCACGTTTGTTTTAAAATATTATAAAAAATTGACAATATTTGTTTTAATTTTAATCTTAATTTACTCATAATAAAAATAAAAAAGAAATATATTTTTATACATACTCAGATATACGAAGTAAAGCACCACAATTTCGAGGACTAGGAGTTGTATCTAATGTCAATTTGATTCCTCTCTGTTTTTCAGAATCAGAAGTATTTGGAGGTATTTCCACTAATCTGATACTGTGTGGTTTCCGTGTAAATGGATAATTAGGTGCTCTATTAATTGGCTGCATTTGTCTCTTATAACAACTTCCACAATATAGTTTAGATCTCTCAACCAATGCATAACTTTCTCCATCTCCAATGAAAGCTCCACAAGAATTACAGGCAAAACATTCTGGGTGAAATTTGTGATCACCTGCCAACATGACAGGACCCGTAATGATTTGACCACAACCTTGACAAGCTTCTCCATAAGCAGCCCAATAATCATCTTTACAAAAAAGTAAGCCATCTTTCTCAAAGTACCATGTGGACAAACCAATATCACATGCTGAGCACCTAAAAAATCACAGTTTTATGAATAACTTATTCTTATGAATAAGTTATTGTTTTGTTACTTTATTTTTCTTTTATTATTAGTATTATTTATATTTACCGAAAACAATCAATATGCCATTCTTGATTTAATGCCTGTATGAATTCATCTTCATCAATTGCATTGAGACATCCAGCACATGTTAATGTCCCACTACTTTCCCCACTTCCCTGATCTAGAAAACATTAAAAACAAATTTAATTGAAAAACCACTTGTGATTAAAAGTTGATATGAATCATTTTTTGCTTTTATAATTTTTTGTTAGAATCTCTTATTATAATGACTTTAAACATTCGGTCTGTATCATATATTTACATTAGATATTTATACATGGGTATTTGCGTAATTTTCATATGAAAGTAACCTGATAATAGAAATTTTATTGAACATTAAATTTTATATGTTTCGAATTTATCGCAGTTACGAAAACAAATATAACGCAGTCACACGGAAAACAAAACGCGTCAGGGACGTATAGTAGGAAGGAAATGTGATTCACGGTTGACATTAGGTAAGCGTTAAGAAAGCAGTTTATCAACCAGCTGACAATAAATTAGCTAATTCTAAGATGATTAAAGCTTGTCAATAAAAGAATCATATCACTGAAATTATAAAATACTTTTCGAAGCATTGTTTGCTCATTAATGCACGATCGGAAAAATATAGTTTAAATGAATGCGTAAATAAAGTTTCTTGAAGAGCGTGGGCCAAGAGACTTGGAAGACAGGACGCCCACGCGATCTACAAAGGATCAAGCGTACACAAAAAATCATCGATCAATTCATTTGTCATATATATAACTCGAAAAATTATACATACTATATTGTGAATTCAGTCAATCCGTTCAAAAGTAATAATTTACATTGCCGAAAAAGACGTACCGTTTGACGAAACTTCATCCATCACAGCATTTAGGTAGAACTGACACACTCCCACTCCGCGCTTTGATCATTGAATATATAGTAAACAGATTCGAAATCCATTCTTGATGCGATGGACATTGCGCAATGGCGGGAAATTTGATATTCATAAAACTAAAAATTTTTACAATATAAATTATTTTCAAATAAAATATAATATTAAATATGGTAAAATAAGATGTTCTTTTTATTTAAGAATAAAATAATCTTTAAAAATTAAATTATTTTTAATATTAAAAAAATTTAGAAAAATTTTGTTTTAAATTTTTTAAAATTCATTGTTTTCTTTTCTTAAATTTATTTAACAGCAATTATTAGTATTCTTGAAATAACTTCTAATTAATAATTGATAAATATTTTCTAAAATTTAATTCTGTTAAAATTCTGCAATATTAAAATTTTTCTGCAATATATTAATTTTTCAAAATAAAAAAAAACGAGTAGTTTGTAAAGAGGTAGTTTATTTTTTGAAATATTTGGTCTTTGATTTCAAATTAAATTATAGATACAATTTTTCAAATATATATGTTAAATTAGTTTTTGATGTATGATAAGTGCAAGTATATATGATAAAATGGTTGGAAATTGTAAAATTTCAAAGATAAATATAGAAAATTAATTATAGTTTTTTTATAATATATAATATAAATATTTTTTTCAGAAAGTATCCAAGAGATCCATTTTAGACTAAAATATATATATCAGTAATATAATATAAACAATATCATCGCATGCAAATATTAAAAATGTTGACTATATTATATGATATAATAATTAAAACTAATTTGAATACATATAAATACATATCTATCTCAAATTCACCAGTACAGTTTAATCTTAAAAAACAAATTTTAAATGATAAAATTCATAATTTAAATGAATTAATTATATAATGAATACATTAATATTTTAAATATCCAAAACATAATTTAACTTGCTTATTACAAGAATTATTTGTTCATTGAACATTGAATACTAAATTTATAATTTCACTTTGGAATAAATAATTTAAATTTAATTTTGAACCACAAGATATCTTAAAAGATCAAATAATTTTACTATTTTCATATAACATTATTATTTAAAAAAAAAAATAATCTTGAAAAATATATATATCTTTAAAAATGATGTGTAAAACAATTTTTTTAATTTATTTAAAATTTGTTAAATTCCACTGTACTGTTGATCAATCGAAGGTCTTCAGGAAACTAAATGTCACTGAGCTATTTCTAACATATATATCAATGTGACATATTCAATCGATTGCACGCTTTCCCGGCTGACCTTCTCGAGATATTTACAAAATCCGGATAATCCTCGATTGTCCAGCGATAACTTCCGGTTCTCTCAGGTCGCATCAATTATTTGAGCATGAAGAGCCTCAAATAACAAATGATTACTCTATAAGTAATAATAAACTACATAGCAAGCTTACATGTCTGAGTAATTTCGATCACAGTAAAGATTGTGCAGAATCTTCGTTTCTTCTAATCATTTCATTTATTCTTTTTCGATTACTGCTCAAAATAATTAGTAAATCATTTTTTCATATCATTTAAAAAAAAGAATATGTATCATAAAATAAAAATTGCAATTTACAAGATAAGAGTCAAGAGCATTTGAATATTAATTTTTTGAGTTTTAAATTATATAGTTGTACATATATAATTGATATTGGATTGGTCATTGAACTCGTGTTATGTAATGATTATAAGAAAAATGATAATTGAACTTGGATGTTAAAATTTCCATATTGTTTCATAAGAAATTGCGGAAATATTTATCAATTTGTTGATTAATTTTTCCGTTTAATGTATTTTGCAAATAAAATATTTTCATACATAAATGAGGAAATTTTATTCAATTAAGTATTTTTCATATTATTTTGAGCAGTTTGCATCGAATGAATAAAGTTCTTTGATATGATTCTTGCATATTTGAGCTGCAACATGTTATTAATTTTTAATTTATACATACAAACGATTTTAAAAAATGTCTTAAAACAAATAAAAGTTCGTTGAACGTACGAGTTTCAAAATTTAAAAATTTTGAATTTAAAAAGCTATCAAAAAGGATAGAAAAATCGCAGATATTGTGAAATTTATTGGTACGTTGTAAATTCATCAAGTTGATACTATAGCATTCATTATTTAGAAAATATATATATATCTCAAATTAAATAATATTTTATTTGAAATTTAATTCAAAAAGTTGTGATATCATATCTAATATATTTTAATTAATTCCGTATCAACTTGATGAAAAATCTTAATCTAAAGATAATAGTAGAAAATGCTACGCAATTTTATGCAATTGCATGCATATTTGCGCGACTGCAATAACGACGAATGATATGCAAGAAATGCGAACCTTGTTTCGGTGATACAATTCCAGTGAAATCTTCCTTCGTTTTATGTTCGATGAAGCAATTGCTCAATCAATTATAGTTATAATCTCTTTCTTCGTTACCATCTTTAGTTTAGCAGTTAATCAATATAAATTTACCAAATAGTTTTTATTTCATATTGTATATGAAATTAATTTCATATATGTATTTCATATATGTATATCTGTAACTTCCTTTTCTTTTCTTAAAAAGATTAATCATTTAAACTATTACTTTTAAAGTTGCAAACACGTTAAAAGAGTAATATTGAGCAGTAAAATCGTAAATCATTTGCGAATGTAAATTTTTCGCAATTCTTTCGAAATCAATAGTTTTTATTCAAATTTCACACCGATTCTTTCTTAAGAATTTGTAGAGATTTTTCTGAATTTCATTTCACATATTACAGAAGTGAAAAACAAAAAACTTTTTATAACAATACGTATTGACTTTTATGTTACAAGGATGACAACTACTAACATTTGCATAATCATTTCTTGCTTTCAAGCTGACCATCTTGTGCTATTTATTCCATTTTTTTACTTTGAAAATTGAAAAAACGACTAAACAAAAAAATAAAGAAAAAAGTTCTAATGTTTTTCATATTTGTGAAAACTTTGAAAGAAATTTTTAATTTTTTAAGACTAAAAAATCCATCTGCTTATATTTAAGTATAACTTCATTCGAGACCAAAAAGAAAAATAAAAAATGTCTGATATATTTTTACATTTGTTAAAAAATATATTAAAAAATATTTTTCGATACTTCTTAGCTATGGAATTTTCGAAAACTAATTTTCTATTTGTTATTATTTTAGACCGATATCTTGCAGAAAAATCGATCGAAGCTACCAAGAAGAGGATAATCTTTTTTATCAAGTAAAAGTCAGGAAGAAAAATAACATTCCATGAAAAATAATGATCTGTAACAATATAAATTCATGAATGATCGGGAAAGAACATTATGTTCGATTCCCAGACAAGTTGGATCAGCGTGAAAGAAAGGGGCGCGCAAGGAACGCGTACAATTATCCCACTCATTAGAACTCTGTTAACTGGCATCACTTCAAAGGCTGTCTGGTCCGTTCTTCTTGCGTTTCCGCAATAGCTAGTTCACGTTCAAGGGCATCAGCGGCACGTATTTGTCGCTTGGTCGGAATTTGTACTGGGAGCACAATCGGTTCGATACCGATTCCGTGTAACCATTTCTGTAACATATCAACCGCATAACGATTACACACGATCGATCATTACGAAATTTTGCAAGAAAGATCGAAATAAACAGGAAAAATTGTTAAAGTAACATTGAAGAACACCATGAACACCACCACCACCACCACAATTATCATCAATAATCGATTGTCTGTGAGAATAAATTTATAATATATAAAATTACATTCAATCGAAGCTCATATGCAACCATGATGATAATTGTTTCTGTTTGAGGATGTCACGCATTGCCTGTAGCATCTTGTAGAAAAACATCTTGTAGGTATAATAATCTCGTGGCGAATTAATATATTCGTATCGCGTCGAATTCATCCAAACTAGAAGGCAACTGAAGAGAATTGATGATTTAATCATTAGAAATATGTTTAATTGTTTCCTTTTATTCAATCATTTTGAAAAAAAAAAGATTATTTTTACATGTACTATATTTTAACAATATATTGAATATCTCAGAAAATAAGAAAAATAATGAAAAAATTCTTCCTTCTCCAAATAAAAAATATTAAATGATGATATAGTAAATTTATATTGATTATTATTTAATATAATTGATATTATATTGAGATTCATATATCTTGATGTAATTTTTTAAAAGAATTGAGCCATTATAAAAATTCTTCTCTTGCTAAATATTTTACATAGGCAATACAAGTTTTAATAATTTTTTATTTTAGAAAGGAAGAATTTGAAAAGATCGAATAAATAAATAAATTTTATTTCCACAGAAAGTTTTCCAAAACTTACCTTTGCCATTGTGAACAGGGACGTCTTTCCTTAAAACAAATTACTTGTATCACATTAAAAAAAAGAGCACCGAGGGTATTCGCGACTTCCGAGTTAACATTCTGCAAACATCTACGGAACTTCGCATCGCAGTCACAGTAAGACCGTGTGAAAGGCGAGTTGTTGCATATACCATGAATGCACTCCTTAGGTGATATAGTGATAGGACAATGATCGTGTTCTCTACAACATGCATCCTCGGCTGCATGATGCCCGAGATCATCATACGATTTCGCTAAAGTACCTGGCCCACACCATTTTGTGCCTGGATAAATCAGTCCACCTCCTGCGGGTTGATTCTGTAACAAATAGAATTTACTTCTTTCATTTAATTTTATTTTTAATTTAATTTTATATTTTTATTTTTATTTTTAAACTCTTCAAGATTTATTTATACACAAGTAACAATGAAATATTTACTATTAAAAATTCTACTTAAAGATCTAATTACCTTTGTACGAAGTAATATTCTACATTAAACGAATTAAACGTTCAATCAATTATAATCTTGTTTGATATCTATAGTTGAAAAGATCGTTTAATACCTTTCCCTTGTCTCGAGATGCTTTACACGTTTCTTCCAAATCTGCTACGAGATTGCTTGACATTTGACGGACTTTTTTCGGGTCAGCACCAAGAACCATTTTTTGAATAACACCACGATCGGTGTACAAGGCACAGAAGGGCGCATCCGCATTTAATTCCACCATTCTTGACATAGTGGTATCCGCCACGAGAACACTAGCCTCAGTTTCATCCCCCCAAAGTGTTGGTATGAGCAGTAGAAATACTGTAAGCATCTATCAATCAAAATAATTTTTATAAAAAAAATGAAATAAAATTTCTATTTTAAGAAGAATATTAAATCAGAGTGAGTTTTAAATTTTTCATTATGTTTCAGCGTTATTCTGCAAGAAGAATCCTGTATATAAATTATAAATATGTAAATTATGATTTAATATACATGAAGTCGCATTGAATTTTTTTTTATTCAAATTCCGAATAATTTCGTAAAAATGCGTAACAAAAATAAATTCATTAAATGTATTCATTGCTATAAAAATAAATAATCGCATAGACATAGATCGAAAAGAGAATCAAATATCGTTATAGATATTTAATTTTATTATTTCGTAAAACAATGGATATACAATTGATTTTCAATAAAAAAAAAAAAATACCTTTGCCTATCAATCTGTTTTCTTATCTTCTAAAAACTCGAAATCAAACTCGTATATAAACATTTCTAATGGGGATAGTAGGTCGACAATGCGCAAACATTTCCTAACTTTTCTGTAAATATATCGAAATATACATATACTAATATTATTATAGTCTAGTCATATTTTGTCTTCAGTTTCACTTAAACACATAATATTAACTCCCACGCAAAATCTGAATATTTTTTATATTTATTTTAAGGAAAAGTATTTTAATAACAATTTTTTAGACTGGCATTTAAATTAAATAATGTAAAAAGTAAATACTTTTTAATATTAAAAAAAATAGTAATTATTAAAATATATATATATGTATAATCTTCTATACAATATTTTTTATCAGAGAAACAATTTCCATGGAATAACATTTTCATTTTCAGATTAAACTCTCAACACTTTATGTTACTGATACGTTTTTTCAATTAGGACTTGAAAAATCTTTTATTATTGATGCAGATCTAATGAAAACTAATTATAAATAGAATAATGTGACGTTTTTAATCCAACATTAATTATTGCTTGTTGAAGTAACCGATCAGATAAATCGACATACAGGAATTCCGGTCGTTTTAACGGGCAAGTTGGAGGGCACACCAATTAAATGTCATAAAATGATGCGTTCATTGCTGTATCTATCATATCCATGATGAGATTTTACTTGGTTATTTCATTACCATTCATAATCATCGTATTTTTTTTTTTTCTCTTTCCTTGACACATTGATCAAACAACATTTGCACAATTTCAATTTATTCTTTTTTAAGCATTATTAAATTTCTACGCAAATAAAATTGCCTTGTTGTATTTTAAATGTTGACGTTTTAAGATTAAAGTTCAATTTATCATTTTTATTAGAAGATGAACTATCTTTTTCTGGAATGATAAGATAATAAGAAACAAATTAGAATCAAGAATATTAATAAAGATGATTATATTTGCATCTACACAACAATTACACTTTTCTCGCAAAAACATTATCCATTAAATATATTGATCGATAATAATTTATTTTAATTTATTTAATTTATAATAATTTTTAAATTATGCTGATATTACTTTATAGCAAAAAAAAAAAGAATGTAAAAAATTTTTTTACTATATATTTTTTTTATTGTATATATTTTTTATAAATTTCTCTAATTACTAATAATAATTCTAATTACTAATATCTGCGCAAGTATATTAAATGATTCACTGAATAAAATAATACTCATTGCAATGAGACAATACAAAAGCACTTACAGTTGATTTATCAAAACATTGTTAAAATAGTCACTGACAATACATGACAATGAAATTCCTTTTCCTAAATGAATGTCAAAGTGGAAAATCCATGGTCACATCATAATTTTCATTTATCACCATCACGGTAAAATAAAAAACTTTCACATTATAAAAAAATTTAAGCATAAAATATATAAAATTCTCAATTTCTCTATTAAAAAATATTAATTCTCTTTTAATTTCAAAAATTTATAAAAAAAAAAGAAAAATCTTTTATAAGATTCGATATCTACGATTCAATTGCACCCGATGCAGTGGTTTCGAGGAACGTTGAGCGACTAATAATGTTTTACCTTTCTCGAGAATCACTTCAAAAGATCCTTCAAGGACAACAGTTCTCTTAAGGTCACAGAAAAATAAGGAACAAAAACCAAACCTTGACGATTCCTCACTGGCTGTCCTTCCCTCTGACGCATCGAAATCGCAAAAGAGATTAATTCAAAAACAAAAATATATGTTGAAAGACAAGAGTGATGAACGACCTTACAAATCCCTATGAGAACCACTAAAGATTCGATATGAGATGATTTTAAATAGCTCTTAAGCAATCTTTAGAGATTGACATCAATGGAAATTACTGATTTTTGCGCTGATCTTTTCTATATGATTATATAAAGAAGAATATAAAATGATAAAAAAATCTTAAGATATAAATTATGTTGTTTGAATTTCAATTTTCATTGAAATTTATTTATAATTTATAAATATTATTATATTTAGATATGTAATTTCTCTAATTTTTTTAATTCTATTATAAATTAATTTATTTATATAATAAAATTGAATTAGATTAAATTCTACTTGTTTTCATTTATTTCGTTATTTATTTTTTTGTGTAATAATTTATTAATATTTATAGCGATTCTGTAGTTTGATATCATACCTGCAACAAATTAAATTTGTTTTCTTAATGAAAAAAATCATATAATTGTTTTAACAGGCAAAATTAATAAAAAGTAAAAATATTACAAGGAATATAAGACAACGTTATATTATTATACATGTATAATAAGATATAATAAATATAATAAATAAAAAAAAAAATAAATATAATAATAATCCTATCTAATATTATCTAATATAATAATAATCCTATCTAATATTATTAACGATGAAGATTAATTAATGTTCAATATCATGACTTGTTTGAGGGATAAATTTAATTTAATTAGATCGTCCCAGTTTAGAGGTGACAGATCCTGTGAATTTCACTAACCCTCGTCATGAAATTGAACCAAATATCGAAAATCTGGGTCAGTCAACCTCATTGACGAACTTGTCTCTTGAACCTGTGCCAATTTAAACCAAATAACTCTGTGACCAACTGATGAATCTACATAATTCAACTACACTACAATCCATCTTATCCATATATAAAAGTCATCAATTATAAATCATCATTATATCTTAATCAGATATAATCTTATTGCTAACTTTTCACAAAAAAGAACATGTGAACATGTGTATATGAACATGTTTATTTATTGATTCAATTATTAATTTAATTTTTAATTTTATTTTTCTCTTTTTTTTTTTTGTCTAATAAAAATCTTATAACTTCAGGAAGAATTGAAGAGAATCACTATCAGAAATTATTTATTATGGAAAAATGCATTAGAAGAAATTGTTATAAGAAAAAAAAGCTTTAATATAATAATCATGTAATAAATATAAAATCATAATAAATCATAATTGTAAATTATTTAAGAATAATAATTAATACAAATATCAATCTCTATAAAATTATCTTTTAACGATAATTCCTATTATCCCTCTTTTTAAAAAGAAAATATGTAAATAATTCTTTATAAGAATATAAAAATCGGAAAATTTATAATTCAATGTAATTTTTAACCTTCTAACTTTCCTTTTACTTATTTCATCCAACATTCAGTATTAAAGAAAGTTTATTATAAAAGAGAATAAAAGCAAGCAATTATCATTGCAATAAGATTATAATGTCAAAGAATCATAAAAAAAATTAACTATGATGTGAAATGAAAACACAAGAATATAAAGCACAGCAAAATATCGCAATGAGTCGCCGACGAATTAGCAATTAATGATCAGTCAAGATGTCAAGAACAATTCACGAGAAATCGCTACTCGTTGCAATATACGCGTTGCACGCGCCGCTTAATCGATCAATTACCCTGTGGAAAAGTCGTACACGTGCAGTGGTGAGTATGTTTATTACGATATCACGATCACAAAGAATGAAACATTCAATCTTAACCAGGCAAACAATAAAACTGTTTCAAACGAATACGTTGTTGCAAAGTAGATTGATTTAAAGATGAATTTAATGAAACTATTTGTAAAATCAAAGAAATCGAAACATGTTCGAGTCGAAGGAATAACGTGAAACTCACTAAAAGAAGAAGTGCGCAACTAGCTGCCAACTAACCCCCACCGCCAGCTACGCAACCCCAGAAACCGCAACGCGACTCGAGCTGCTGCAGTGCGCAACAACCCCTCAACTGATCGACACCGATCTTGTAAAATTTATTCCGAAGGTAATAAAAACGCGATAAGAAATGATTTTAATATTTTGAAATTAATAATTTTACCAATTGAAAGATTATGTTGAAAAATATATGAGAAATTTTAAAATTCTTCAAGTTCTTAAACTTTAATGATTTAAACATCCAAATTTATTATTTTCGATATATATCTCCATTGTTAGTTAAATGTTTATGATTTCAGAATCATATATATCATAATCATCGATGTAGATATATTTTTAACATAATGGATGTGTAATTTAAACAATTATTATCAATTTCAAAGGAGAATACAATCTTGTACCGAGTCTCCTTTCGTTCAATTTATATGAAATTCAATACCTGTGTATAATTCTGCTTCCTAGACTATTATAAAATATTCCATTTGCGTTGTGCATTCGTGTTATTCGAAAAGCACATTTTTCAGGAATATCGTTTATCGATTCCTCGCACGCATGTTAAAGAAAATATATTTTGAATAATGTATATCTTTAAGATAGATGTATCCTCAAACTATATGCTTTAGCATTTTTAACTAAATAATTTTTACTAAAATTTTTCTATTATATATAAGACTACATCTATAAGATTATATCTAAGATTATATAATTTTTAATTAATTAAAATATCATATATTTTTCAAAATTGAATAATAATTATTATCAGAGCAATTACTATCGATCTGATTTTTCAAATAATTAAATATATATGATATAATAAATAAAGATATAGAATTAAAATTAAAGAAATAAAAGAAAAAGACAAAAATGTAATGAATTAATAATACATACATTGAAGTTTTATAATTCTCGTGGACGATGATCAATAATTTTTCCTGTCTTCACAGGATTGTGATCTTTCAACAAAGAATTTCTGTGATTCCACAGAATTGTGAATTTCAAAATAGAGTGATTGTCGCAAGATGTTTTTTCTAAAAAAAATTCGCTTTATCTCTCTTCAACGGCCGCTATCAAACTGATCGTTGAAACGGGTCGTCAGGATACTAATATTATGTGGCATACATACATGAACCCGTGATCCAGATTACACGGGGGAGATTCCAAATCACGTGATATACCACATGCTTGCAACCGTACAATATATAACTTCGTCTGTTGTAAATAGATCGGATTAATTTGTCGATAGCACAAAACATGCTGGCGATATTTTTTCTTCCAGAGATTTTACAATTTCATATTTTAATATCCTTCAATACAATTAAAGATAGAAGGAAGAAGTGTATTTTCTTATTATTAAATATCATGACAGAACTACTGTGAATTGAAAACATAATTGAAAATGATTAGAAATTTATTATAAATTTATATAAAATAATTTCTGATTTCTATATATATATATATATATTTTATGTATTTATTTTTTAAGGAATAATATTTTGTAAAAAACAAATCAAAATTTATTTTTAAAATAATTAAGATAATTTTTCATATTTATTTTATTAATTTATTTTATTTTCATAATTTCATATCAAAAAATTAAAAATTATTTTATTTATATATATATATAATCATCTGTTCTCATGTCATGTTTTAATCATAGTATACAATTTCATACTTATCTCATTCTCATTAAAATTATATCAAATCTAATCAAAGGAGAAAATAGCATTAACAATTTATTTATTTATTTTCTCCAAGAAAATGAGTATTGAAAAAACGAGAAAAAGCATTAATTCTTATGATCAAAATATATTAAATAACTTTTTAAAATCAAGAATCTAAGGAATCCATTCAACTTCATTTGTTTCTTCATAATGCTTCATTAAGTTTTTTTCAGTATTTTCTTCCGGTTTACTCGTGATTTTCTCTTCGCTTCCGGTCAATTTATGATAGACCTTACTTCCCATGTTAGCTACCCATTCGACACCATCGCCTACTTTTTCTCCAGCTTTGCGAACTAAATTGCCAATATTTTGACTTGTGAAAGTCGATGGATCCACCGTAATATCTAATGAATTATTACCATGTGAACATTTGATTTGACTAATAATGCTCAAATCAAAGGGATTCACACCAAAATCGGATAATTTTTGTCGTAAATTATCTATAAAAGTTTTATCCAATTCCCGATTCCTAGAAAGGATTGTTGCACTCTGACGATGAGCAAATGTCAGCTTCTGACATGTAAAAACACCCGCGTAATTGTTGTAATCCGTGGCGAACACTACATGCGACGCACTTCCGGCTACACCTTTAAATACGATAAATTGATAGTTAGAATAAATGTAATTGAAAAATTCGTGAAAATTCTTTGAAATATTTAATGAAATAATGCGATTTAATTTCATTGAAATTCCTATATTTCTATATTTTCTACCTTCTTTTAATTATTATGTCTTTCTTTTATAGAATTTTTTTTTTTATAAATATATTTAATAAAAAGCGTTTTTTCAGTTTTTTCAAAAACTTATAAAAAGAACAAAGGAATTTTTATGTTTATGTGATAATTTATATGTTTTTGTAATTTGTATGTAATTTATATTTTATATTTGTTTATTTAAAAAATTGTTATATAAATTATTTATAAAATTTTAAGAATAAATAAAAGAATTTATTTTTGTATATGTTTTATTGTATATACAAAAATTTGTATATATATTAAAAATATCAAAAATATATATAAATATATAAATATATATTTTTGAGCTTTGATAATAAATAAAAATTTTTACTAAATTCTCTAACAATTTCAAAAAATTATTAACATACCATATCGAATTATTGAAATATCTTTAAATATTTTTTTAAAAATATCAATTTCCTCTTAAACAATTGAAAAATATGATTAATTTATTTTATCATAAATATAAATTTACTTACTAAGAGGAAAACGAACTTTCATTAGAGCCGGCGTACTCGGATTCGGTACGGTCAATTCACCAGTGTAATGGTACTCATGCTTCAATGACGTAAGACCTGTGTATAGAAACGTCGCTTCATTACGGATAATTCATCCTATTTGTCAGACAGTTATTCTATTGACATGCTTTTATGAGTCTCGATGGGATCCGATGTTCTTCTTTATTAATTCAAAAGCTTTCAACAATACATATGTATATTAGCAGTACGGTGTTGTCATTTATAAAATTTTGTCTTTTTCGTAGCATCTTCATTGTTTAATGTTAGAATTATCCACAAAAAAAGAATATCGGATTACTTTTTAACTTCAATTCTTCAAATTTTAAATTGAACACTATTTTAAAGCATTTTTGTTTATATATAATTTTTAAAATTTAGTCTATTATTTTTCTTAATTTTTCATTAAAAAAAAAATTTTTTTCAATTTTAAATATTTTTATCTTACTTAATACTGGATGATCGGAATCCTGTTTTAGAATGTATTCACCCGGTTCCTCTCCACGAGTATAATTATAAGTAATACATTTACTAGCAGTGGAAGTTTTCTGAATTACGTACCATGTACCTAAAAACTAAAATTTCAAATTTACTATAAATGAACGAAAAAATAATTTAATATATAAATACTTTTGTTTATATACAATAGAATTATAAACTTACTTTGTTTATTTGAAATCCCTGCATTGGTTCTACGATGGGACAAGGCCCCACGTGATATGTATGTGTTTTGACGAGAACAAAACATCCTAGTAAGAATGCTAGAGATAATATCTTCATCTATAAAAAAGTTTATATTATTTGAAAAAAAATAGTAATATCAATCTATTCTTTATATGTTAAAAAAATTTCAGAATGAATGATTTCCTGATAGCGATTATAATTTTATCATTATTTAAAAATCAAATACATAAAGATATTGTCTTATTTTAGTAAAATAAATCTTTAAAATAAATAAAATTAAAAATAAATAACTAAAACTTGTAATTGTAATATGATGTTTAAAATATTTAATTATATACAATTTGAATGAACAATACAATAATGAATATGATTTAATGTTCTTGAATTCAAGTAAAAAGTAAAGTTCATTGTACATTCAGTTTGAATTTTTTTCAAAATTTAAATTTTCTATATCAAAAAAAAAAAATTAATACATAATATAAAATCAACTTTGACTTCATTCCTACTGTAGAGATTTTAAAAAAATTAATTTTTCTTTTATTATCTATAGATAATATAATGATATACATATATATATATATATATATTATTAATATTAATTATATATATTTATAATACTAATCATAATAAAATACAAGATGAAGAAATATAATCCGTGTGAAATATCGAATCGAAACCAACTTCATTAATATTGTTTTCATTTGAAATCTATTTTTAATTATTATTATTACTTACATATCAAAAATATATTGTAAAATACATAAATTAAATTAATAATTTCTTATGTAAATATTTCTTTCTAACTATTATATTTCTAACTATTAACTATTATAATTTTTTTTTTAAATATTTAACGAAAATATAAATTCATGTCATTAATTAATTAATATCGCAACAAAATTATTTTATGATATATGAAAATGTTTAAATATTATCTAACAAAAGTTTTCGGATACTATTTTATAAGAAAATTTATTTAATTATAATTATTTAATAATTAAAATTTATTCAAAAATTAATATTAATATCAGTTTATATATTCCGTATATAATTTATAACTATATTATATTCCATGTATAGTATCCATGTATAAATATCTATATATAAATATCCATTATGTTTTATATATATACAATTTTCATTGAAATCAAAATTTTTGGGTTAGGTGAATTTTTTTTCAAGATACGAAAACTTTTGTGTTTTATTATTTGTAATAAAGTCATTAACCTTTTCTACAATATATATAAATTATAAATGCAAATGTAAATATATAAATAGAATCATAATATATTCTATATAATATTATTGTGAAATAATATAAGTATGCAATACAATATCTTAAATGACCACTGAGATACTCACCGTGAGACGATGTTGTTAGACTCTGAACTAGTACTGTAAACAGTAGCACAGTGGAGAAGAATTTTATGAGACATACTCCCCTCTCAATCCAATTATGGGTCATATATACTTCGAATAGACTGATCGTAACATGATCAAATACGTTATTTCTAAAGAATTCGTAAAAATGAATCAATTTTCATAAAAATAAGTATTTTCATATAATTTTATATTATACTTTACATCAATCAAATTATTTATACAATCAAATTATTTACAATAATAGTAAAAAATAATATATTTTTTTTATTTTATAGCATTATTTTGAAATCACATTATATTATATTTGTAAAGAATAAAAACAATAAAATTTTTTATAGATATTTTTATTAGAATATAAAAATTGTATAAGATATCTTATGATATAAAATTTATAATTAATTTAGTAATAATTCATTGTTATATAGTTTTTAATATATAAAAATAAAGATATCTAGATTATACATATTTTTTTAGAAAAAATGGTTTATAAAAAAAAAAGCTGAAGATACGAATATCATATAATTTTATTATATTTGCTTACGATGAGTCATTTTCGTTCGACGAATCAAATTAGTCATTCTAGGAATGATATATACAATTTCATTTTTTTGTTTCTCTGTAGTTTAATTTGTAATTTAATTTATATTATGCATTAAAAGAAAAGTCACACTATGAAAAAATATCAATATAAATACAGAAACTTTAAAAATATAAAAATGATAAATTATGGTGAAAATACCGAAATTTCTCCTGCATCGAAAAACATATAAATAAACTATCGTCGTTTATTTTTATTATAAAAATACAAAAGATATATTTTTAATAAGCATGTGAATTTCTCAGTAGTATTTACAGAAAACAATAGCATATATCTTCAGCTGAATTCCTAATAATACCAAATGTATTACCTATCTTAAAATTAAAACTTAAAATTAAAACTTAAAATTAAAAAAAATTTTATTTCAAATAATAAAAACATTTTCTAATTCAATATATGATAGAATGATATCTAAGAGTATTTATAATACCACAATATTTTTTTTTAAAATGAATAAGTAATAATTGCAAAAAGAATCTGAAGTTAAACGAATAGATGAATTATTCAAATATCAAATTGCTACAAAACATTTTTTTGTTCAAATATAGTACAAAAACTATTTTTCTCTTCGAAATTTTTATAGAAAAATTATCTTCGCTGATTAAACATAATATTCTTTTGAATATAATTTTCATTACATGATGAACAAAGTCATTGAAAAAAAAACATTAAATGTTTGTTTTTGTACAATAACTTAATATTTCGGTATACCCTGAGACATAATTTATGTAGTCATAATATCTGTACCATGCATTTATCCATTCGTTTTATTTTTCTGCATTATTCCGGCGGCAATTTAGAAATATCCAAGTCATTAAAATAAGGATGTTTCAGAGCAGCTCGTGCCGATATTCTATGCACAGGATCATAAATAAGCATCATTTGCAAAAGATCAAGTCCATCATTATCTAATGTTTTAACTTGTGATTCTAAGTTATTAGTTATCCAATTTGGAAATGTAGCCTTATAATCTGATAACTGTGTTACACCAGGCCATATTTCTTCTGTAGGCGTTCTTAATATCCTATAAAATATTTATTACTAATTCAAGTTCTTATATTATAATCTAATATATAATATCGACTATAAAATCAATTTACCGAAATATTCTAAATAATTGATCAATTTCACTATCTCCTTGGAATAATGGTTTCTTGGTTGCCATTTCAGCAAATATACAGCCTATGCTCCAGATATCAATGGCACATGAATATCTATTGGCACCAAGAAGAATTTCTGGAGCTCTATACCATAAAGTAACTACTTCATGTGTATATACTCTAACTGGTATTCCAAATGCTCTTCCAAGTCCAAAATCTGCTACTTTGATCAATCCTGACTTGTCAATCAATAAATTTTGTGGTTTCAGATCACGATGAAATATTCTACGTTTATGACAGAATAAAATAGCACGTGTAATCTAAAAAAAGGATTACATATATTTTAACTTTTATAAAATATTTTATAGTATTTATTAATTCATATTAAAATAATCATGTATAATTATATATATAATAATATATTATATAAATAATAATATTATAATAATATAATAATATTATTTTAATAAAATTATATTTTATGTTATATATTAAAATTAATTTCAAACCTGATATAAATAAGATTTAACCATTTTTGGCTCCATTAATTTTCCAGTACCTAAATTATCCATGTATTTTTTTAAATCCATAGTAAGATATTCAAAAATAAGATATAATCTAGTCTCTTCCATTAAGACATCCATTAGTCTAACAATATTAGGATGTGGCAGTTCTTTAAGTAAAGAAATTTCACGAATTGCTGTTGATGGTATTCCTTCATCATCACTTTCCAAACGAATTTTTTTCATGGCTACAATTTCTCCAGTCTTTTTATGCTTTCCCTTGTACACTACTCCATAAGTACCTGTGAAATTTTTTTTATGATGCTATAAATTTTTTGTGATATTTTAAATTTTCTTTGATACCACAAAATAACAAGAATAATAATTTTTATTCTACAAATAAAATGTATATGTGTATTTATGAATAGTTATTTTACTTTAAACAGACTGCTTAACAATTATGATTTTTGAAATAATCATCTTTTAATAACCTTAATTAAAAATACAAAATTAAAATTTGTACAAAATTTATTATAAATTAATCGATTAAATTTTGATACAAATTTATTAAAAATATTTTTAGATTAGAAATAAAATGAATCTTAAAAAATATGATAAAAAAAATACTAATTAGACAAGGATAATCTGCAAGGTATTATAACATTCACCTTCACCGATTTTTTCAATCTTCACAAAATTCTCCATACTGAAAGAATGCTTAAAACCCTAATCTGCGTATATTTTTCTAAACTCTAATGTCTAATATAATTCAAATATAATAAAATTTCATATATATTTCACAAAGTTTTCCAGTATACCGTCACGTAACGATTAAATTCAAATGTCGGTACGCCATATTGATAAACACGTTTGAATGTTCAGTGTTCGGTTTGTTCCGTAACAAGTCGGCCTTGTTATAGCCAATCCGAACAAACATCGTAATATTTAGGTTATTTCGTAAAAATATTCCGCTTTTACGGAAACAGGTGTTGTTTTTAAACCCGCGCTTTTATAATATTTTAATATATGGTTATAAAAACCATAATTGCTATCATAAAGCAAAATAATTATAATTTTAATAAAAAAAATAACCTTATTTTAATTAAAATTATTAATTGTAATGTATATAATTATTATATAATATATTAATTATATCATGTATTATAATATAGATAAATTAATATAAATAAAGCCAATATTAAATACGAGTTCTCAGTAAATCTGAAATATATTAATTAATAGAAATAAATTTATATTCTAAAGTTTGGCTTTACCAAAAAATTAAGGAACTTAAAAAAAAAAATTTCAAAAATCATTTGACAATATTTATTAAAAAAAGAGAGAGAAAAAAACATCATTCGTGTCAATGTATCTCTTATTTGTACATACAGTATATAGGTACAATGAAATTATCATATAAATTGATGTTACAAGCACATTTGTAACAAACAAAGATTTCTTGTCTTTTCATTTTTTTTTCAAACAAAAATTAATCAAGAATATTTATCGTCAAATCGAAAACACAGAGTTCTTCTTCCAGATTCTTTATAAAATAAATTTATTTTTTTAATGTTTACAATATAATTATATAACTATAACAAGATCATTCAAATCTTTGTTTGATAAGCTTTGTAGTTACTCTATAATTCCTATATATAACGACTTTGAAATAAAAACTCTGTTTTGTAATCGACCTGACGAGATTGTAAAATCAAAAATCGAGTTGCACCTGTGTTAGACTTGTTATTAATCATAATTCAATGTCGTTCAAAAGTTTCAACACATTTTATCGAGGAAATTGATAGCCACCAGTAGCATAACCAAGTCCGACACCTCGTTGTGTGTGTGTAGTAGCACGTGCTACTTCGTACTGTTGTTCCATGTTATTAAACATTTCTTCTTGTTTTTTTAATATATCTGGTTTGGTACCCGCTGCCGGAGCAATCGGTAAATCGTCTTTGATGCCCATTAATCGCTTAAACTTTGCCGTTACTTTTCCATCCTGATCATGAGTGAATGTTGTTCCTACCCAAGTGTTTGCAGTGGAAGCTGCTGTAGATGTTTTACCTTCATCTTGTTTCGACTGTAAAAATAAAAATATATATATATATTTATATAGAAAAAATTTTGAATTTAAAAAAAATATTTTGGTATTAACATGATTATGATTAAATTAACATGAAAATGAATTAATAATTAATTACTTTATTCGCCCATAATAGTTTTCTCTTCTGTATCTGTTCCGCATACTTTCCTTGCGTCGCTGTGGCTAAAGGATTATAATAATTTTGTTCATTTTGAATGCCTGGTGTAGTGGTGTCTCCTTCTGGTGCTTTAAGTTCAATTCCTAACTTCTCTAATTGGGCTAACTTGTTTCTACCTTTTTCTTCTCTATAACTCATTGTTCGAAAAGGAGGCGGAGCTCGGTCTCTCGATCTAGATCTTGATCTTGCACGATCTTTTTCTTTATGATAACTGGATCGATCGTCTCGATATCGATCTTTCGATCTATCATCTCTAGAATGTCGGCGATCTCGATCTCTGTCCCTATCTCTGCGTCTATCTCTGTCACTTCTATCACGATTTCGATCTCTTCGATCATCACGATAGTGATGATCTTTGTCGCTCTTTTCTCTATCATCACTCTTCTCATCTCTACTTGATCCTAACGAACTCTTTTCTTTTTTTTTATCATCATCACGGGATTTTCTATCATCATCCCGATTCCTTTTTATATCTCTATCTCTATGACTGTTTTCTCGTTGTCTTCTATCATCATACGATGGTCGTCGTCCTTTATCACTCATGTGTCTACTACGGTCAGATCTATCTCCTCGTTTGTGCTCGTCTTTTGAATTTGCTGTGTGATTTTCATGATCAGATCGCCTGTAAAACGATTACGTTCTGCAGGATATACCACACAGATTCGTATTATTATTTTGCATGTAAGGGAAACATTATGTGGTAAGTATGTTGCAAGTTTGTTTGTTTGTTTTTTTCTCTTATAAAGTTCAAAGAAATATATTAATTTAAATTCAGAGGAGAATAAGCTTACAAACAAACCAGCTTACCTCTGGTCTGAGGGGGAAGGTAATGATCGAGATGAATCTGTTTTTGATTGTGCTGCTGGACTCTGTGCTCTTTCACTACTGGATTCTCTAGACGAATTGTTGTTGTTGCTTTCCTAAAGAAATAAAAATTATTCACATTACTATGCATTTTATATATTTTATTAAGTAAAACATAAATTTCAATTTACATTACAAGAACTATCTTAAACCAAACGTTTTTTTTAATACCCTCACAATTTAACAAAAATCAATCTTTTATCAATTTAACTTTATGACTTTAATAGTTTTTAACAAATATAATTATTTTAAAATTATAAAATTTATAAAAAAACGAATTTCAATATATATAAAGATTGAATTTTGCAATATTCATAATTATCAAATAAAAATTACTACATCCTAATATTTTTGATATTTAAACCATAATATTTAAAAATAATAGAGAATATTCTTAAAACTATTGTAATTAGTAATTTTCAAAAAATAAATTTTCTCACATCCTTGGTTGTACTTGATACAAAAATTTTATAACATAAAAATTTATATTGTAAATATAATACATTGTAAATTTCATTGTACACTTTTTTCAATTAAATTTTGGAGAATAGAATAAAAGAGAAATAGGAATGAGGGCCCTTCACATTTATTTGTTTTAGCAGTTAGTTATATTACCCGAATATGTTTGTACATGTGGTTTCTTTGATGGTTGATTTTTTATTAGTGTTACCTTCTTCCAGCTTCCTCTACTCACCTTTGTCTTCTCAATAGGACTTGGGGTAGTCTTGAAAGACCCTCACACAGCATAGACCTTGCCGAGGTGCGTAGATATTGTATCATGTATTACCAACAGAGCTACGTGTTAATATTTTCTCACGAAATGGCACTATTCCCATTTACTTATTATTTAAATTTTAAATATCTCAATCTTTACTCTCATTGTTTCTGCCACATGATAAGGCTTTAAGGTCATGTCTTAAACTTATCAAAAAATTTTATTTCATAAATTATATTTTGATAATATTATTATAATGTATTAAAAGATGATATAAAAATAATAAAGGATAAGAGTGCATTACATCGTAATAGTATATATATAAATATAAATAATATTTATAATATATATAATGAAAACAATATAATGATAATATTATATTGTTATTAAGTTCAAAATAAAGATAAAAATAGAATTTTTAATGATATTACATTATTAAAATTTTTACAAATAAAAAATAATTAATAAAAATTGTATCAATTCATATTAAATCATTATAAAATTTTTCTTCAATGCAAAAAAGTTTTATTTTATTAGTTTTTGAATGTTTAATACGAAATAAATACTATAATTTTATTGTGAAAATGCATTCTATTTATATGGTTTTGACATGACCTCTGAAAACCAAGATTAAATCATTTTTTTTTATATGTCATGAACCTATATGTATGTATAGCCCTCATAAAGATACCACATTTTCCATTCGTTGTAACATTTTGTACTTAATATTACAAAAAAGCATTTACAAACATTCAATTTTACTATACCTCACTCATGTCCATTTGAACTGGATCGTAGTTTGCGTCACTGGCTCTTTTATTGGTATCACCATGCATCCCATATGATATCTTAGAAACACAATATTGGTGATAAACCACTAAATAATTTAAAAATCATAATATATATTATCAATATTATTATTATTATTATTATTATTATTATTGATATTATATTGATATTATATTAATAATAATCTCAAAATAAATAATTAAATTACTTATATCCAAAAATATCAAATAATTTTTTAGAATATTAATAAATAAATTAATAATTTATAGAATTAAATATAAGAATTTTTATACTTGTACAATTGTAGAAATAAGAATAATAATTACGTGTAATTTATATGTTAAGTAAACGTGTCGTAGGTTTGTTAAATCTACAGTTAAAAAAATATATAAATATATATCATAAATAGTTAATTCAATTTTCTGAGATAAGATTATTAAATATAAAAATTGTATTTATGAATAATTGAAAAATTATATTGACTTAAAAACCTATTCTAGGAGAAGCCATGTCGCGTATGTACATGAAAGTTTCTTAAGTATTATAAATGCCGCAGTGAAAATGAGATATTAACAAAATAATTATAAAATATTCCAACGTTTGTCAATATGTAAATACTCACCTTTGGATCTTCTGAATTATTACTATTGTCCCCGTCACTAGCGTAATTCGCTAACGAATCCATAATGGCGTGAAAACGGGGAACGAACTGTCCGAAATTGTTACGACTATCGCAGCGCGTCGATCCTAGGCTGCCTTGCGCAGAAACGCCATTGGTCGAGAATATTTAACCAGCTTGTATATACATACCGTGCTTTTCTAGTGCTTCCATCGAATGAGGTTATCGAAGCGGAAATGGAAGAAAAACGATACAGGAAATGCAGAATAAGCGGTGAAATTAAGCGCGAACATGAAAATCTTAACAAAATTTCTTCTAAATAAGCAATTGATTGAATTTTGATTATTAAATATTATTATAATTATTTATTTTTATGATATAATCTAATCGATGATATGATATGATATAATCTATAATCGATGAAATATTAAGATAAAAGAATTGATCTATTGAACGATTGTATTCTATAATAAATATTAAAAAAATTATAAGAAAAATAACATTTTTTTAAGATAAAAATAAAATTTCTACTAATAAAAACAATATTAAAATATTTTATTAAAATAATTTTAAAATATAATAATATTTTTATTAAAATAATTTTCAATTTCAATTTTATGGACATTATCCTACATAAATTCTGTTTTATAGTAAATTGTAACAGATATGAATTGTCTGTGAATTAGATAATTATAACAATAATAATTTTTATATATCTATAGATAATTATATTTATATAGCCAATATCTTAAAATATAACATTAAAAAATACTCTAAAATTTTTAAATAATTCTCAATTTATTTAAAAAAAAATTGATTTTTTTTATCAAGTAAAAAATAATTTTTAAAAAAGAAATCATTTTTATAAACAATTTTATTTATATTTTTTATCTTTAAATTAATCTATTTTTTGTTCATTAAAATTATCTATATTGAAAATAAAATGATTTATATATATAAAATCACCATTTTATGAATATACATATATTGACAAAAACTTACATTTGGAAATAATAACAAAAAATCTGTTTACAATAGCATTTTTATTTATAAGTGAATTAGAAAATAATTAAAGAGAATGCCGAAGGTGCATGAAGTGTTGCAAAGATGGGTTAATGCTAGAGAGCAACTCGCATTGACGTTTACACGCGGAGAAGCGCAAGCCGGTGTGCAGAGTCGTAGTCGTGTCATGAACAAACCGGGACGCAACAGTCGCTCACCAGACTTCGTGCTGGAATTATCGTTGAAGCTATGATTTCGCGCTTTCGTGATATTTCGTGATTCGAATCCAGGAAAACTTATTAGAAACATCATTTCGAAGAAAAATATTGTGGATTTAATTATTAGAGTAAGTGATTTTATATATATTTCTTTCATTATAATCGCGGAAATCTGATAGTTCGGACAGCAACCCTTCGATACGCTGATCGAAGTATATATCTCAGTACACGCGTACCGCGAATGTCGATTCTCTCATTCCACTCGGATCTACGTGACCCCGTTTTCGTCTTAAATCATAGTCAATTGTTTTTAACAGATGACATCCTCTATGGCGAATGCCTTAGCTAATTACGATAACTCATATAGACAGATTTTGGACATTTTTTTTTTTATTTACATTTCAGTCCAGTTTAATTAACAAAAGTATGACAAGAGTGATTTATATGCATCTTATTTTATATGTTTGTTCGTGATTAAAAATGTACAATTATTCCGTCTCGCATTTTAATACAATGGTAATAATCTATTCAAGTGGTCTTTTCAATCAATTTGAGATAATTTAATTAAATTGTTACGCTTTATTTACAAGCATACTAAAAAGTTATATATAAGAGTTTGATTAGGTTATAAAAGTTTTGTATTGTTTTTCGGCATTCGTATTGTTTATATTTTCTATCACCAGCATTTTTATCCGTTTACATACAAAAAGCCACGAGTGATTGTTATCGATCGAAATTTCTGAAACGTTTCATATAGGATTTCATGCAATATTTTTGCATATATAGCTATAAGAAATTACACTGAAACAGATAATTTAATTATTTGATATCCTCTGAAATAGTTGAAACATTTAATAATAGTACAACGAATAAATAAGTTAACGCGTATATGTATCAAAATGTCCATGAAAATAATCATATGAATTATTCTTTATATTTGCTTTGTTCTATTTTTTAATTCCGAATAATTTATTCTTATTTCTGAATTTGATTTTTTTCAAATAAACAAATCTTATTGAAATAAATTTAATAAATATTTTATGTTGATTATAGAATATAAAATAATATAAAATAGATATTATAGAATAAAATATAAAGTAAAATAATAATTATTAAGAATATTAGTTAAAAATTAAATATTATTATAATTATAATATTTAAAATTATATAATAATTATAAAATTATCATCAATATTAAAAAAAAAGAATATATAAAATATATAAAAATAAAATGTGGAAATGTTCGCATTTTTTAACATTGATTATTTTAAATTTAAATGACACATTTAAATTTTTTTTTCGAAGCGTGAAACACACAATTTCAAATAATTTAAATTCGTACAAATGTTTTAGAATATATTTTATTGAAATTTAAATAAAATAGTATATGTTAAATAAACATAAATAAATAGTTTATAATAAATAATAATAAATAATGAAAATAAAATAAACATTCATCATGTTCTACAAGATCGATTCGACGAAAAAGATTTCTTCATATGAAGGTGGTATTCAATTATGTTATCAACAAGATTAAGAATTTTGAAATAAAATTTAAAAAATAATCGACAATAGTTTCACTTCTTCGTCTCGTCAAATTGCGTTCTAACTTTTGTAATTTCGTATTGATCGTGGCAATAGAGTCCACTATTCGATTCCAATGATGAAAAGTCGCTTTGAGAATACGCTGAAGGATCATCAAGTTCTTCATCGCGGAAATTGTCAGAAATATCAAGAATGACATAAATTGTCGCGGTTGAGCAGAAATTAATTTTAAAAATGCGATTACTGAGGAAAAATTATTCTGTTCTTGCACTCACAACATACCAGTCATATTCAATTATTTATTAATTAATAATCTAGCTAAAGCCATTGAACTTTTTTCAATTACTATTTTTTTCGTTAATTACTATATTTGTATTAATTGACTCTATTCTTATTGCGACAACAAAACGAATATCGTGAATTTATGAGAATGTGACCAAAACATTAAAATTTCATTAATAAGAATTATTAAATTTATAGAAATTTCATACTTTAAAATTGAATTTGAAATGAAATAATTAAATTATTGTATAAAATTACAGTAATACAAAAATAGTTTTTATGGAAAAACGTAAATAACGTATAAAGAATGTAATATAATTAATGTAATTTTGTATTGAAAATTAAGTATAGTTATAAAAAATATTTATGAACTTTAATGAAAATAAAATTAATTGATTCTATTTAAAAATAAATAGTAATGATCAAAATGTTAAAGCTTTATTATATTTTATTCATATTATTTATAGAGAAAGTTTTGCAATAGAATTAAATATTTATTATTAATTATGAATTCATTCTTTGCGATATCAATTTCGAATTTTTTTATTAAATCATTCGAGATATTGAATTGTGCAAATTCGTAGCGCGATAAAATTTTTTAAATCGATGAGCATAACCTCAATTACCGTTACTCGTCGAAAACAATCTGCAAATGTATATATAATTAAATTCATTGTACTTGGAGGTACGAGAAGTATATATAATTTTATTTTTATCACAAATAGTATAGTAATCTTCGTTCGAAGAAGTTCTCTGAGAACCCGTTCGTTCAGATGACAATAAATATTGTACAAGTTCTTCCTCGTTTTTTTCCATCCTTCGCGTCGTTTTCTTCGCATATACTCGTCCCGTTTTCTCGCTCGAACTCGCGCGCGCAATAAGGTTCCGTTATCCACAGTAAATACATATCGAACATCCTCTGCGTTTTGCCTCAGATGAAAATGAACAACATATGCAACAAAATGTGTATCAATATGATATATATATATACAGGTAGGCATGAAATCGTGGTTTTATATTGAAATTTTTTATTCAACTTTTGATTTATTCATCATTTATTGATTATATATTCAATAGATTATCATTGATTAATATTAGGTTAGAATTCATAGGATACATAATGTAGAATGGATATAAAAGAAAAGAAAATGGATGGAATCTTTTATAATAGGATTGTAAATTGTATTCACATATTCAAGAATTCTTCTGTCTTATCTGAAGCGTTTTCATCAAGTATTTATCATTTTTTTATATGTTTGTTTTAATAAGTTTTTATATGTTCAAAAATTAATTATAAAGTTTTTATATGGTCAAAAAAATATTATTCTAATCAATAATTTTTGAATTCATAATATCAAGTACAATTCAATTGGATTCATTTTAATTAATATCATAAATTCATTGATAAAAGATTTTAGATCATATATTTTTTGAAAATCATTATTTATGATGATTTATAATTTATATATTAAAAAAGCATAATAAAGATGGTTAGAATATCTCGAAAAAATGATTATATTTAAAAACTTAATAAAATTAATTGAATATTGTAGAAAATATATACATATAGGAAACAAAACTAAATGTATACATATCACAAAAAGAATATAATTTCAAATGAAGTTCATCTAACAAAAGTTATTTTCAAATAGGTAATGAATATTTTATATACAATATATTTTCAAACATTAATTAAATTAAATTAAAAATAAATTTTAATCGATTATTTTCAGAGAAAATTAAATAATTAACAATTATTATTTTGTTATACAGAATTAAACAAAAACAAAAAATTTGTTTCAACTACTATGTAAATTATATCGAAGGATTATGGCAATGCTCGGGAAAGCAGTTATATAATAGCTATATTGAAAACTGAGGGAATCAAACGTAATCATCGTAGGGACACATCGCGCAGTCGTATTATGTAGATTTGTTATATCTACATAATATACTTTTAAAAACCCACTCCATAGCTTCTTGCTATCATCGAAGGGATGCACAAAACATTGTTGGAGCATATAGAGAACCCATAATCTAGAAGTGTGAGATTTTGTATGATAGAGTTGAATTAGGATTGAGTCGTGCAATGCATGAATGAGTAATTCAAATCAATTGTAAATTTTTTTTTGATTCACTAATTCTCTCTCTCTCTCTCTCTCTCTCTCTCTCTC